TTTTGTTAGATGAAAATATACGAGTAAATCGACTAATCTATTGTTTATTATAATTCCATTCTAGGCGAATATTTACATAATATACAGTTTACAATATATATGATTCGAAGGTTCACATAGAATAAGGCAAACAGACACTCTCGGTACATCACTTTCACAAGTTACCACAACAGATTTCATTACATTCCGTAAACAAAATTAAGCAACAGTGTCCAATACTGTGCACAAAAAAAAACAAAAAACAACGCTTAGTGTCCAATACAATGCGGACAAAAACAACGCAACAGTATCCAATACTGTGCGGACAGAAAACCACGCAAGCCAACAGTGTCCAATACTGTGCGGACAAAAACCACGCAACAGTGTCTAATACTGTGCGGACAAAAACCACGCAACAGTGTCAAATACTGTAAGGACAAAAACCTCGCAACAGTGCCCAATACAGTGCGGACAGAAAATATTAAAAATTCAATAAAAATGAATAGTAATATAACACAACTTTTTTATGAGTCTATAAAGGTCCTCCCAAGATCTGCCCAGAATAAGAAAAATAATTTAACCTTAACTACCTATCATCTCCAAATATTCTTCAACTGACCTAAGTAATCTCCAAATAGTCTCTAACTGACCTAAATAATCTCCAAATATTCTCCAACTCTTTGTTTACAAAAACAAAACATATAAATCATATAAAAGTATTTACTACGTGACCTAGAGAACATGCTATGCTGATTTCTTATTGCAGGATAGCCATTTGACTTAATGACTTTAACAGAGTATAAACAAAACTTTAATATGACAAAATTAATTACAGTGGAGGATAAAATAACACTCAAGCATTTCTAAAGAGATTAAAAGAATTTTCCAGACAAATGTAAAAGATGACAAGTCAAATGGAAAAGATAGCCCATGAAATGGAAAAGATGTCGAGTCAATTAAAAGCATTAACCAAGAAACAAGGCGAATATCATCAGACCTTTGCACATGAAAACCAGCCAGCTACAAAAGAAATCAAATCGGTTCCATTTTCTTTGTCCTGTTGATAGCAGGACGGAAAATTTTCGTATTTCAGTTGATTGTTGTTATGAAGGGAGATTTTTCTGTTAATAACTATTTGATCTTTATAACAACTAAAATTGTTTGATTGAATTTTCATAAATCTTAGACCCTACAATACAATCAAATATGGCATCTATATTTGGCCATACATTATTTTACGTTTAAAATTTAAACATCTTCTCATTGTTTTAAACTGTAATATCATTAAAGGTTAATCCCCTGATAATCTTTATACAAAATATATGCATAACAAACGGCATATAATAATGAACGTGTCATGCAGTTTATATAACTTATGTATTTAATAATTACTGCTGTGTAATGGGTTAGACATTTGGGGAATTTAATGAATCAGAATTTTTGAGTTGATAAAATGATAGATAGTAGTATCCTATTACAGTGGGAATATAGATCATCCTTAAATTTCAATAAAAATAACAGAAGATTATGTGGTGGTATGTCAATGAGACGGTAAAACAAAAATAAAAATAGAAGAAAGTTAACACACACTTTTCAACTAAAGACAGTTGTTTATACATTCTTTGTACTCTAACTAGTCTACAACACGTGTAAATAACACTATCAAAGATTTTACCCCATCATAACAAAATTCCCCAAATTCTCCAAATATCAAATAAAAAAATATATGACATAAGACTTGTATTTCGAGATATCAACTCCCCTATTTTAATTTCGATCATTGTACTTGCAAAGGGTGCAAAAATGATATACAATACAAATCAGTACAAGACAAGCACAATTAACTCTTTAATGAAACACTATAGTAGAAATAAAACAATAATGGACTTAATTTTATTAAAGAATGATAGCTGACCGCCAGTTACTGAAAACAAATTTTATGAAAACATTCTGTTCAGCACTCTATTGATTCGGTGTTTTGTGTTTACTCAGTTTGACATATTCATTTGTCATAATTGATGGAACAACAAAAAAAGTAGATACCGGTAACTCACATGACCTAATAGAACAAGCGGACAAGAATCGAAACGTTGCAAAAATCCAAATATGTTACCAGGCAACGAGTTCTTTTGTCTCCTTTAATCCAATCAACATTTCCTGATATCTGTATATGAATAATGTTTATAATACGCATCTTAGCTATTTTTGATTTTTATTTTCAAATTCAAAACTTTTCGGGCTTTATTCTTTGGGTAGTTGGCTATAATGCCTCTTTTTTTCTTTTTTCCTCTCTCTCTCTCTCTCTCTCTCTCTCTCTCTCTCTCTCTCTCTCGTCATGTACTACTGAGTAGTCGTGCAACTTTTAATGTAGATTTTTTAATCGTTGAAATGTTTTTCTTCGAATCGATTGTATGATTTTTCTAAATCGGTTGTACAATTTAGAAAATCGTGTGTACTATTTAGAAAATCGTTTGAATACCCATTAAAATCTTTTTTTTACTCATTGAAACGACGAAACGATTATTATAATCGTTTGTATGGTTTTTTAAATTGTATTTTTTTAATCTGTTTTACCGGGGTTTTTATTCAATCGGTTGTACTATTTAAACAATCGTTTGAAATATTACTAAAAGTCGTATGTACAGTTTTTAAAATCATTTGTACGATTTAAATGCAAAAACATTTTTTCCTTTTTATCGTTTTTTTTAATCATTTGTACAATTTCAAAATTTTTTGAAAGATTATCAAAAATCGTTTGTACAATTCAGAAAATCGTCAGGAAGATTATTAAAAATCGCTTGAACGATTTAAAACAAAAATTGTATGGTGTTTAATCGTTTGAATGGCTTTTAAATCGTTTGTACGGATTTCTAAATCAATTGTACAATTTTGAAAATCGTTTTAAACGTTTTTTTTAATCGTTTGTACGTTTTTATTTTAAATCGTTTAAAAAAAAAGCAACATACAAACGATTTTCTAAATTGTACAAATGATTTGAAAAAAAAGAAAAAGAACAGTCGATATAAGTCAGAACATTATATTATATTCGATTTGTCCTTTTTTCTATTTTGGTTGATTTCATCTGTTTTAATACATATCTTCTTAAGAAAATAAAGATTCAACTCCCTCAGTCAAAGTTGACCTTAAATGGTTTTGGCTATTATTTAAGGTCCTTTTTGGTCATATGGCTTTCAAATATTTGGCATTGAGCACTCCTGGTTAAGGTAAATCCAGGAAAGTGCTTCGGACGCATGAAATTGTACAGTTGTTTGCAAATGCATATTATCGAGTAAATACGAATGTTAATCATGATTTTACAAGAATAATTTGTCTTCCTAGAAATTCAGTAACATCCATGCAGATATCCAAATACTCTGTCGTATTCCCACAAAGATCTTCACATAAAACTAGAAGATTAGCCAAACGAACCCCACCAAAACCGGGATGAAATTAGATGCTTCGGAGGTGTTGGCTGATTTTAAATACTAGTATCCCATATACACATTTTTATGTTTCAATCCTGACCTAACCGCGATATAACTCGTTTTCGTAGTCAAGTGTTAATATCGTTTAATCAATTAGACCTGTCCATCCCCTCAAGTTTCACTTTAAAACACCACATTTTTAGCATTCATCAAATATGTATGTCGAATCAAGGATACTGTATGTCAGTAAAATATATATATGTCAAACATTATTAAAACTATTTCTGACTTTTGATTTTTTTTCTATTGTGGTTGAAATCTCAACTGTCGACATTAAAATGAAAATGTCTCTGTAAACTTCGGATTATTTTAAGGTTATGCTTAGACTATACTAGATTTTAACAAATTTGTAGCAAAGATAAGAAATTGTGAAACTGCTATACATTGTAAGATGTGGTGCGTTATTTGTGATGTTTTTTTTAAATAAGTCAACATATACAAAATCTCGAAAAGTAATACATTATCACAGTGATATGTATATGTAATTTTCTATCAAATAGACCCCTGGTATACTAATTTTATCAAAAATAACAGACTCGAAAGGATAAAAACTACGAAGCACCATGTGTGCATTAGCCAAGTTGCGATCGTTGGGTTTATAGATAGGGATCGGTTATTATGTTTTGTTTTGTGCTTGGACTGTAAATTGAGATTCTGTATGTCAAATGATGGAAAACCAAAACACATGGCCAAATTTTAGTCTAATGTTTTCTGTTGTATCGGTCTTTGACAAAGTGACTTCAATAGAAGGCTTTTCCCCCTGAGACACATAATCAACCAAAGATTGGTAAATATTTATTATGGTAAAAGATAATGCTCATAAAGCAACCATTTCCAAAATATTTATCTAGGTCAGTTAACCTTGATTTTTGTCCTGAAAATCATTAGGGTCTTGTTCATTCCAAGGGACAGTTTCAAGCTAAGTTTGGTGAAAGTGATACACATGATTCCTAAGATATCAACCGAAAAAAAAACGTTTCCCAATTTCTATCTACCATTTGCTATTATGACCCTGACCTTTCATCTAGTGACCTTAAACTCAATAGAAGTCTTCTAAACTCCATGGATTATTATCAAACCAAGTCTGGTAAAAGTTGAACATGATATGGTTAAAAAACTCATCAACGATACCAGGATTTTGCAATCATCCGTGACCCCCGAATTAAAAAGAAATTAAGTTAATAGCTGATGTGACCTTGACCTTCAACTATTTTTCTCCAAATATATATGGTTTTCTCTCTTCCCTAAAATCGAAATGTTGACATCCGGTCGTCCTAACGGCATTTGGCATATCATAAGCCGGATAATAAACTGACCTCTTAATATTTGCTCAGTCAAAATGCAGTGTAAGAGGTAGAATTATACTTGATAATTTAAGGGTCAGCTGCAACCTAAATATATATTTGTTTACTTAATTCTTTTTATACTATTTTTCTGGGAATTCCAATGATAGAGATCTAGAACTTATCATTTTTGTAATCAATTTATCATTTAAAGATGACAGTTATGATAAGATGTCTATCTAATTATCAGCATTACACGTCCTGTTTGATCTTATGAACGGTCATACATTGGAATTGATTCAAATCATTAAATAAAAATTATTATTTCTCGTTTAGTCAGTTGTGGTTTTTTGTTTGATGTCAGAGGTTCAATATTTTTTTTGCTATGGAGACGTCACAAAAAATAGCTCTTTCAAAATGCAATAGAATATTGAAGAAAAATATTACTAATCTTGGAGAGGTAATGGATTTTTTACTGCAGTATGGTTGTCTGACTTGGGATGAACGGAACAGAATTGGCATGGAAAAATCTTCAGATGAACAATGCCAACATCTTCTAGATGTTATGATTCGAAGAGGAAGGAAATGTTATGAATATTTTCTGGTGGCGTTAACTTCTTCGGGAAATAATCACATTGCAGAGGAAATCAAAAATACGCACGAAAAAGGTACTTAATACTATATTTAAATACTGAAACTTTTTTCTAGCGGATGATAAAGTCTGAGAAAAGTGTGATTATTAGTAAAGCTGTTGTAAATATCTCAACTGACATACCAAGGTATCTCGAATACAATTTAATGGGAAATAGCATGCCCGTTTCATTTTATTTTTTTTTAAAAAACCCATTAATTATAGCATTTCTTTTATTGTTGATTTATGTTATTCGACAGATTCGGTAAATGCCATTTGCTAATAATCTTAAATAACATCTCCACACTTCTTTGCATAATCTTTGCTTGCGAACTAGAAAATGTTTTACACAGCAGCAAAAAAAACCCAACCCAACAACACCCCAAACGAAGAGAAACTATACACGTTTGCGTTATAAATATACTGGTAAGAAGTTGTTTGCCCTTGTAAATTGATATTTTTATTGTAATTGTTATAGGTGCTGAAGAGTGGAAATTAAAATCAATGGAGGAAAATATATCGGAGAAAAACGATACCATTAATGATTTGATAAGCCGGGTCAACAAATTGGAGGGTCAACTTCTCCTGAAGTCGGAGAAGGTGGAAGAGGCACACGAGGAAAGAATAAAAACATTAGAAGATATAAAGACACTCAAAGAACACACAGGTCAGCGAGATAGTGATATCAGAGCGCTCATCACAAAAAATGAAGAACTCGAGAGAATAATTCAAAATCTTAATGCTCATATTGATTACCTTAAAAAGGAAATACAATTGAAAGACTATGCGATAGAGCGAATAGAGACTGATAGGAGAAAAACTGAAAGTGAACATACAAAAGCCATGCAGGATCTGAGGGGACAGCAACAAGAAACACATGGGGTTTGCGAAGAACTCATGGAAAGGCTGACTTGCCAATCAAAAGATATCAAAGCTTTAACCAAAGCTTTTCAGAATGCCAACAACAAAGGCGAAAATCATAAAAACAGTGCACCTAAACACCATCAACTGAGGAGAGAAAACACAGTGGGTTCATGTAAGAAAGATCCACATTATCTTAACGGACGAATGTCAACATATGCTGTAAATACGCCATCGTCGAAAAACAGAAAATCAACTGATTAGCTTGTATATAGCCGAATATGTACATACCTGATCACGATTTTCAAACAAACCTACAATTTGTAGGTATTTTCATATCTTGTTTTGCTCCATAATTATGAAGAAATTAAGATCGGAGGAAGTCTGCACAGATTTATCACAAAACGTGCCATTGTTTGACATGCTGGTGATTGTATATAATTTCTCTTGAAATTTTATAATTTGTCATTTGAATGTTAAAGATATTCAACATCATTTGTATATTCTCTGCCGTTGATATTTTCTCTTTTGTTGTTGTTGATTTCCTGTTTATTTTGATTGAATAAAATAAGTATTATGACAGTTGAATAAAGATATTCAACAGCGTTGATTATAGATTAAAAATATATCTTTGAATAAAATTTATCTTTCAATAACTTAAAACATCTAAATATTATTTCCTTATATAGAAGAGTTCAAAATAAAAAAAAAAGTATGAACATTTATGGTCCAACCCCTCCAACTGATTTGATGTAAAGATGTCATAAGCTGTCTTAGAAAAGTATGATGTATGTTAGATATTACAGCCGGTCGTATATTTTAAGATAAACAAAATCTTAACAAACTCTTGCTTTGTATTTTAATTCTAACTTTAAAAAAGTAAGCCTTTTATCTATGATGAGTTTATTTGCACGGTTCTTGTTTTTTTGTTTTGTTTTGTTTTGTTAAGTTTTTTGTTTATGTCTCTATCTGGACATTTGTTCAGCTGAAAACGTATTGTAAGTTTTAAAATATTTTTTGGATAATAGTCAATATTTTTTCTGCAAGGTATTATGTTCAGAAAGCCGTTTCAAATAGCAAAATATAAACCGAGCCGAACAAGACATTTACTATGATTTAATTTTTTTTGTATAAATAAAGGCAACAGTAGTATACCGCTATTCGAAATTCATAAATCGATTGAGAAAAAAACAAATCCGGGTTACAAACTAAAACTGAGGGAAACACATCAAATATAAGAGGAGAACAACGACACAACAGAAACTCAACACTAAAATGCAACACACACAGAAACTATTATATAACAATGGCCATTTTCCTGACTTGGTACAGGACACTTTAAGAAAAAATGGTGGGTTGAACCTGGTTTTGTGGCTAGATAAACCTCCCGCTTTTATGGCAATGTTAAATATAACATTAAAATGACAAGATTACTTGACAGGACTACAATACAAATAAATGGGAGAACATACAGGACAGAGACACACACAAATAATAGCTATCAACAAGTAAAATCACAAAAATACTGAACTCCGAGGAAAATTCAAATATCAAAAGGTATCAGGCTTATAATTTAATACGCCAGACGCGCGTTTCGTCTACATAAGACCCATCAGTGACGCTCAGTTCGAAAGCCAAAACAAGTACAAAGTTGAAGAGCATTGAGGACCAAAAGTTCCAAAAAGTTGTGCCAAATACGGCTAAGGTTATATGCCTGGGATAAGAAAATCCTTAGTATTTAGAATAATTCATACTTTTGCAAACAGTAAATTTAACCATTGATACCTGGAAATACTAGAGAAAAAGAGTTATTGTGTGTTTAATACCAGTTTTCGACCAGTTAAATCTGATTGGCATTATATGGTAAAATTAAGATAAAAGTTTAACTATGAAACAAGACTTACAAGAGATAATGTACCTCAATGAAATGTCTTCGTGGTACGTTTTCCTTTCACAAGGAACCGTTACCTGAATGTCTGTGAAAGTTGTATGATTCGTATTGACCAAGTTTTACTTTAATCAGATTGAATTAAGTCGTGTTTGTGTTTACATAGTAATTGTGTGTATGCAAGTCTTTTGCGTCTTCTTGGCATTGTATCTGTCTATCATCGGCATTTTCTCCATTTGATGCTGTTGCTTCTGGATTCTTGTAATCTCCCTCTTTTGTCCAAATAGATTTCTTGCATTGTGGATTTCTTTTTCTTCAGCATTTTGATTTTAGTTTCTTTATCATTTTAGCAACCAAATCCGTAAGATCACTAGGTGGAACATATGTAAAATCGTTATCTTCATTTTCTATTTTTAAATTCTTCCAGCACATATACGTTAGTTTTCTCCACCTAGCAAATGCTTTGAAATGTTCTTTTCTCAAACTGACCTTTAAAGGATAAAGTTCTATAATTCCGGCATGTTTTGGGAGAAACATAGTATGACTTAAACCGGCCCCATGTACACCAATCAGAATGTCCGTTTTTGATATCATTTCTAATTGTTTGTTCATTTGATATCTGTCTATTTGAACTCCTTTTACACCAACACTAGGGAAAAAACTAGACAAATTGGTCAAAATTTCAATTTCATTTTTCAGTTTTCTTGTTACCTTCCCCTTTGGATTCCTGGGATGAGCGATGTAGTCATGTCTTAATATTACCAGAATGTTGACCCAGTCACAGTTAAGTTTATAAGAACCGTCTATTCCATGAGACTTCATGAAAAACTTTCTGAACTCTTCTAGATAAGGAATAAAAGACAGTTGGTGTCGATTGAGAAAACTGTCATACCCATTTATACTCCATATCATCTTCTTTGCTATAAGAGGCTTGCTCAATGAACTTGTTTGTATAATAGTTCCAAATAACGTTTTCCACGTTTCATCTAACATACCCTTTGGGTGTGCGTCTATCCATAGTATCGTTAAATTCCGTTTCCTTCTGAAAAGTTTTGTCATTAAAAAAGTGTTAAACCAGTCTGTCATGGTGTGATAAAAATTGGCATATTCAAACCTCGTTAAAGCAATGGCAAAATCATAAAACCTAGTAAGACTGATGTCATTGGTGTCATTAGAACACTGTATAACGTTAACCCATGTGGCTTTAGGATCATGCTTTCCATATGTGTCATTTGAAATCTCTGTACAGTTTAAACACGGAATCTGAAAATATCCCTTTTCTAACCTAAGGTACTCTCTTTCTTCCGACTGCTTTAGTACGACTTCTATATTTTCTCCCCCTTTGTTTCCATGACTAAATCCTGGATTTATAACAATCATTGATAATTCAAAAAATAAATGTGCATATGAAATAATATAGCCATGACAATATTCTATTGCTTCAGAAATCCATTGTTCTAAGACATCCTTATCTGGTCTGATCTGAGTTCTTGTAGGACCGGTTTTTGTAGCGTTTCTTATTGATGTCGTCGGCAATCGTTTAATCACTTTTGATATTTTCGGATATACTTTCTTAAATGTCAGGTTTCCTTTCATTTGTGGTTTTCTTGTAACTTCTCCTTTCTCTTTATTCATTTCAACCATATTTGGCTGTACTTCTTTACTTGACTCATGTGTGTCGTCAAATACATCAGGATGTATTTCCTCAATGCCGTAATCTACCGGGCTGTTTGTTGGTGTTTTATTGTTAAATTTGTTTAAAAGTAGAAAGCTGCAGATAAGAAAGTGTGCCAAAGCAAAAATTACAAAGTAACGACTAGAAACCATCATGTACTTCTATCAAAACAGCATCAGTCCGTCGATGTGGCAACACTACTCGATATTCTACGAGGTGTTAAATGTGTATAACCGGAGAGCATGATTCTTATAAAAAAATTACATTGTCTCCTACGTGACTCGGACCTGGAACTTCTGTGTAACAAGTCAGCGCTTTAACCGAACGAGGGAAAGAAGTACCTCTCTAGCTCAACTGCATAAGGCTGGCTAGGTATCTACTATTCAAGGGAAGCAATCCCGTCACAAATGTAAGACAAAATCTGAAAAAGGGAGGACATATATTGAAACGCCAAGAAAAAGAATTATTCAATACAGACGAACAATTTGAAATAAAGCATCCCGAGTTTAAAAAAAAAGGAAAAAAGTTTCCATCGAAGATAAATGTTTTGGTCTGACGGTTGAGAATAAAGATAAACTACATTGTAGAAAAATTGGTCTGACGGTTGAGTGTATGGATAAATTAATGTATAACCAAAACATGATTATAGTTCAAACTGGCAGTTACGTTAATGTATGCGTGCTTACCTTCAGAATCCGTTTATATTTCCATTAAATAAATTAAATAAATAAAACAATGAATACAATAAAACACATGATATGATCATTGAAGTGCATGCTTAAATAGTTTAAATAGACATGCATATATACCTTATGGTATTTAGTGGTCAAATCACAGTAAAGAGTCATTCAATTAAATTGTTTATCAGGAAAGCTGCCATTTTTTTTCCTTTTTTTATATATAAATCGTGTATTTGTACAAAATGTATGACTGTAACCCTCTCACGCATGGTTTAATTACCGCAAACGGTTTTGGTTGTTCGGATGCTAACAAATACCAGGGTGTAAATACACATAAAAACTAGGAAAAATTAGGTAAACATATAAAATTCTGGTCCTGTGTAGGTCTGCCGCATACACCTATGTGGTTCTTATTGTGATAACATATTTATGCAAGTCTTTTGTCAGTGTCTCTCAATATCATGTTGGTCCGTTCAATATCAAAAGATTCTTGAATATCGACTAAAAGAGCCACTAAAAATTTCATCAGTTAAAAAACTTTCTAGACACTACTGTTTCTATTCCTAAATTGAAAGATTGTTTGCACCATTTCTGATTACAGCGTTTCAGTCAACAAACAAGTTTAACGCAGATACCTGTAAACGAGAGGCGAAAACTACCAAAAGAGATATTCAAACTGACAAGTAGATGACAAACTGACAACGCTATAGCAATAAATCGAAAACAACGAAAAGACAAAGAACATTCTAAAACATTGAAAACTAAAAACTGAGAAACACGAACCCCACAAAAAACGGGGGTGATCTAAGGTGTCCCCTGAGGGTAAGCAGATCATGTTCCACATGTGGCACCCGTTTTGTTGCTCGCGTTAGTAGAAATTCGGTGACAATTACTAATTAGTTTCCCTACAGGCCGAGACAAATCTTACTTTATGGATTTGCAATGAATCCAAAACCAAATCCATCGATGTAAACATGATCAAAATGCTAGACATTTGAGATCGATAACATATTCGTTTAATTTTTTTGATTGATACTTAAAAGATATTTAGTTAAATAATGGCTGGTAAAAAAATATCCAAAAGCACTGAAGGCATTGACGATTTCTTTATTGTTTTGTTTTTTAAACCATACATTTGTTTGAAGAATTCAGAACACATTCTGGTTTTTATTATGAACCTTAGTAATCAGATTTCTTTCAAGACCATATTTGTGCATGCAAATGTAAAAACTTGAAATAAAAGATGTGTATGCAGCACACAGAATTATCTTGTACAAGTATTTGTTTGTGTGAAGGGTCTGGGGATATAGGAATCATCTTACTCATCGAGTACTTTCTGAAGAGGACGACGATGAAAACGATATCTGAAAAAAATATTTAAAGTCAGATCTTTGGAAATTTTTTTGGAAAATTGTTGGCTTAAAGCATAGGTGTTTAGGTTGAAGGTTCCTGCTTTGGTTGGGTTTTGAAAAATTGTTGGTTTAAAGCATAGGTGTCCATGTTGAAGGTTCTGGCTATGGTTTGGGTTTGAAAAATTGTTGGCTTAAAGCATAGGTGTTTAGGTTGAAAGTTCTGGCGTTGGTTGGGTTTGGAAGGTGTCCATGTTTAAGGTTCTGGCGTTGGTTTGGGTTTGGAAAAATTGTTGGTTTAAATAGGTGTTTAGGTTGAAAGTTCTGGCTTTGTTTGGGTTTGGAAAAATTGTTGGCTTAAAGCATAGGTGTCCATGTTGAGGATTCTGGCGTTGGTTTGGGTTTGGAAAATTGTTGGCTTAAAGCATAGGTGTTTAGGTTGAAGGTTCTGGCTTTGGTTGGGTTTGGAAAAATTGTTGGTTTTAAGCATAGGTGTCCATGTTGAATGTTCTGACGTTGGTTTGGGTTTGGAAAAATTGTTGGCTTAAAGCATATGTGTTTAGGTTGAAAGTTCTGGCTTTGGTTTGGGTTTTGGAAGGTGTTCAGGTTAAAGGTTCTGGCTTTGTTTGGGTTTGGAAAAATTGTTGGCTTAAAGCATAGGTGTTCAGGTTGAAGGTTCTGGCTATGGTTGGGTTTGGAAAAATTGTTGGCTTAAAGCATAGGTGTCCATGTTGAAGGTTCTGGCGTTGGTTTAGGTTTGGAAAAATTGTTGGCTTAAAGCATAGGTGTTTAGGTTGAAGGTTCTGGCTTTGTTTGGGTTTGGAAAAAATGTTGGCTTTAAGTATAGGTGTTCATGTTGAAGGTTCTGGCGTTGGTTTAGGTTTGGAAAAATTGTTGGCTTAAAGCATATATATATAGGTGTTTAGGTTGAAGGTTCTGGCTTTGGTTGGGTTTGGAAAAATTGTTGGTTTAAAGCATATGTGTCCATCTTGAAGGTTCATGGTTATCGTTGGCTCATGTCTGTCATATTTGTTTTTCGTAAATTGTTTTGTTATAAATAAGACCGTTCATTATATGAATTGAATTGTTTCATATTTTTCATGTCGGGGCCTTTTAAAGCCGACATTCTTGAAGGCCGTACGCTTGCCTATAATTGCTTACATCCACTTCATTTGAACTTTGTTGGATAATTGTCTCATTGGAAATCATTCCACATCTCCTTATTTTTATATACGGCAAAATATCTGTATAGTTTTTTTTTTTATCAATTCAAACTTTATTGACATATAAATCAACTGATATTGTTTGTGACAAAATAAAAAAAAAAAACAGGAACTTGTGCATTTTACCAGTTTTTGTGTTGATGGGATGAGAATCATGATATTTCTTTTTTGCGTTATTGTCTATTTTCTCGAATTTTTGTTTAATAATTATTAAGGAATTTTGTTTTTGTTTCACGGTTTATAGTGTTTAAATTATTTGTTTTGTATTTTTACATTCCTCTATATGCTTTAAGCCTTCATGAGCTACCCTTGCAATGTTTTTACATATGTAAAACATGTGTAGATCCTGGTGAGTCAAGATTCGTCGATAGTATAGGATACTCATAGAAAGGAGTTGAACCGTGATTCGATTTTCCAACTGGTTGGCTTTTTGTAAAGCTAAACTTATCTTCCGGAAACGCGAATCCGTTATATGCTCGCAGTTTACCAATTAATAAGAATTTCCGGTAACAATCCAACCAAGGTGTTTTTCATTTTCTTTATAAATATTATTTTCTATGCCATGCCATATAAGTCGAGTATATTCTGATATTAATTCAAATCTAACAAAGGCTAAGTGCAAACAGGTAGATTGATAAAAAAATACCTAGAACATCTTTCTATTCGTTTTACATAGCCGAACCTGACTTGCTCCCGGTGCAACTAAGTCTAAGCCTAAGGCTTAGACTAAGGGACATATATATTTTTTTACATGGGGAAAAGTGGGTAGGTCATTTAGAATATGCAGCCTTGAAACCATTTTCAGTCCTCACTATAAACTTCTCAAGAATTTTTTTTATCCCCTTTTAATTGTAAACAGTCATGATCCCCCTTTTTTACACAGTCGCTTGGGGAGTGGATCCCCATTTTCCTATACATGTACATAATATATGTATAAAGGTAAATATATTTGTGTTTTACATTTTTCATTAAATATTTGAACTAATTTTCACTTTTATAATGTGTTCTTGTGCTAATCTATATGATCAGAGACATATAATACAAGAGATTCGCAACTCAAGTGGAGTCTATATAACAGCCAATGAAATGACGTGGCCACCGGAAAGCCGATTAATCCGATGGATTTATGGGTAAAAAACCGCTATTGTTGTGAAAAAGGTTCTACGCCTCACGATTTTTCTAATGGATAATGCCGATACCTTTCACAGCTAAAGCATGCAAGTATATTTAAAAGTTACAAAAAACTAATTATAATAATTTGTTATTGATAAAATGTGTTCTAATGATGAGATTAATCAAATACAAACAAAGTTAAAACTCAGCCCATTTTACTTCACCTATTGCCGTAGAAACCATTTGATCTCCCAATTTATTTCTTTAAACTTGGAAATATGCTTATAAATATTTAATTTTATGGGGCAATAACAGTTATTTCTAAAAATATCATCAAAGGTGACTATTATTTAGTTATTAATACACAAAGCCAGCTATGCTAATTTTATCAATCTGTTTCGTCAAAACTAGAAATTTACAAATAAATATGTCATATTATGGGGATATATATTACTCCCAATGTTTTTTTTTTTCTTTTCTTTTCTTTTTTTTTATTAAACTGGCTAAATATTGAAATTGTTCATGCACAAATTTCCTTAAATCAGTCCTTCATTTTTGTGCACTATGAAATTTATACTTATAGCCTGCATTTTGTTAGACAATTTATTCATTTTTCATTCTGTTTATGGCAAAGTTGTTTATTTTCTCCTATTCTGAAGTCATTGTTTTTTTCTTCTTTTTAGGGTGCCAAAGATGAACGAATGCAGTAAATTTACAAAAGGAGTAAAATTTTCCTAGTAAAGGAAACCTTCTGCTGGTCGTAATATTATGAATGAGCTTCATGCATCTGTTGTCGTCTCAGACTACGCTTCTCATTCAAAACATGAACCTAATTCATTTTTAAATTAAAATCGTATTGAGGACATTTCAATGGAGACTGCAAAAGATATATATATATATATATTTGATAATAAAAGATTTTATTTACACCAAGGATTTGTATATGTATACACATAAACAATCTTACTTTTAAACTGCCATCTCTTTACCCCAGAATAAAAAGACAAAAACCACTACAAATGATTAAAAGACAAAAACCACTACAAATGATTGTCTCGTGGAAATAAGGTTATAAAATACTTTTTAAATAGTGTCTTCCATGTTGCTTTGATGTATGACCTCGGCTCCCACTTCAATGTTGTGTTTTTTATAGATTTTTTGTTGCTTCGAGGACACACATATCCATCTATGTATGCAGTATTGTCAATTGTTTTTGTTGGTGGGTCTCTCGTTTATGTGTTCGTCCTTTTCACTGTCAACAAAGAGTTCGTTATCAGTTTATTCAACTAGGAGTATATCTAAGTCGTAACTATTAAGATTGTCATCCCACGAAATAAAATCGGAATTTTCCATATTGCGTGCACATGAATGAAGCTTTATTCAAATGAGAAATTAATTGTAATTTTCTTAAATATTAATTCTCAATACACACTTCGAACATAAAGAAACCATAAATTTACCGACAATCATTTAAAAAACAACTCAATATGCAAGCCTATGATGAACTGTCAAACAACACTTAGAAATCAAACGTTTACCGACAATCCTACAGAAAAAACTCAATGCAAGCCCAATAAATGATGAACATGATGAATATAAAAATAAATAAAATTTATAAATATCAAGAATAAAAAACAAAGCCTATCATGATTAACAATTAATTAACAAATAAATTAAGTTTTTTTCCACATTAATTAATTTTACATTTTGTGAATTGTATTTTTGGAAAGAGTGTGGACACCTGTGGTGTAACAACTTCTTGTTTACAAGGTGTCAATTAAAACTCATTATTTATAACATGTTCGTGATTTACCTGGTCATCGAAACCTAATATACATGTCACACTGTGAAATTATGTCTCCGAGACAGGTGTATATTCAATAGAAACCTATTATGTAACTATCAAATGAAATGAACTCTGACACAATTTATCAAGTGTTAATTATTTAATATCAGTTTTTTTTTAATACAATATCAAATTATGTCTCTTTTTCAATAATACAAATCTAAAATCAAAATTACATTAAAATAAATGATTATATATGTACTAAAATTATTTAATTAATTATGATAAATTTTACACTCAAACAGTTTATGTTATGCTTAAACATTCGTCCTTACTTCAAGTACTTTTAATACTTTTATTAATGACTTTATTACCTAAGGAGATCTCGCGAGGTTTAACTAGTGGCCGCGTGTTATTACGGGATTTCGCTGAGTTGCGAATCTCTTGTATTATATGTCTCTGATATGATACATTGTATTAAACTATCAGTAGTTTTTATATGCTGACCCTCTATTGTTGTTTCCACAAGGAAGGAATGATTTATGATTAAATATTTAGTATTGTTATCTGTTCCCCTCCTGCACATTTTATGCACTATATTTCCACATAATCATAAAAATTTAAATTAGGAAATGTGAAACCTTAAAAAAGACTTACCTTTTCACTTAATTCTGTTGGTGGTGTGTATATGAATTCTAGTCAAATCGGCACCTGGTCAAATTGGCACCTGGTTAAATCGGCACCCCATATGTTGAACGCATATCTTTTTTTAGTATTTTAAGCATTTTTATGTACCAGGTGCATAGTTTCATAGTATAATCCTGTCTTTCTTTGGTACTAGTTGGCATAAGAAATTAAAGCAGCATACATCATCATGCACAATGTACATAACAAAATCATTTCATAATCATTGAACCCCATCAAAAAGATAGAAATGGTTTAAATGAAAGAAAATCTCACCTTGTTTATTTTTTTGTCATCCCTCTCCCCTTCTATTGGGATGATACACAGTGAACAATGATCCTTATGTACATGTACGATAATGATAGCAGGGTTCAAAAATACACTTCTCATTGAATTCATCAGACTTGTTTGATGCCAATGTATTATTGTTGTATATATGTTTGCCACCACTTCTCATTGATTCCATCTGACATGTCTGATGCTAAAGTTGTACAACAACAAAAATGTATATATTTGCCACTGAGGAAATATATTATGGTAATTACAGGCTCTCTGACATGTTAGATAGTCTGGTTTCTGTTCTAGTTTATTGAATTTCATTTATATTTCAGAATGCGGGTAACAAGAATTTTATGTAATTACTTTAAAAGATATGTTGAATATGAAATGCGACAAAGCTGTGGAGTAGATTATAAAGTTCCCATTTATGGATGGGTCCGCAAAGGAAAAAGGTATTGGAAATACAGTCAGTTTCATCCGTTATCAGCTCAAGGACAATTGATAAATAAAACATCGAAAGAAAATGATGTAGTGGAACCTATCAGGGACTGGAAAATATTCAGAGGAGATCGGGTATGTACATTGTATTTTAATATTTAATCAAAATGATAGAGCTGATATTTATACCCTTTGCCAACAACATTTTTTTTTTTGGGGGGGAGGGTATGTAGGAATCTCCCTTTCTGTCCAGGGCAATTCTTCCTAAAAGGCTAGACAGATATTGATATACATTTACACAGTTATAGAACATTACCTGAGGATGTGCACCAATGAATAAAATCTCAGTTCTACTGTTAAAGGGGAGATAATCCACCTTATAATCCTGATCCAACGTTCTTCAATATTGCAATATATGATAAAAGTCTCTTTTAAGTCACACCCTCCTAAATGGTAAGATAGTTGACTGATAATTTATGGAAATGTGTTGAAAGGAATATAGGGGAGATAATCAAATTTGCTAGGCAGATTATTCACACACAGTTCATGTAAAGTTCAAAAAGTTTTTAGTTTCTATGAATTAATGAATATTAACAATGAGTTCATTCTTGTTGGTTTATCCAAATTCTGTAAAATTATAAGATCTATATTGAAGTGATTTTACTTTCCTATACAATTCTGAACATGTCATTAGCAATCATACCTCTTTCATGTCTTTTATATGTACATATGTTAATTTTTAGTCATGCATAATGTATGTTTATATTGTTTGTTTGTACATTGTACTACAGTGTATCATGCCTCATATGAAGCCTTTATGTGAAATAAAAAGTTTATAAGCTTCTAAGTTTTAAAAGTTTCAAAGTTCTAGTTTATTTTGTCAGTAGTGATCCAGAATTCCAGATTGACCTACAAGTATTAGATAGAAATTTTATGGTAAAAAATGACCACACATTTGCTGTTTTTAAATAAATGAAATAACATGATGCACTTGTTTCCAAACCTAACTCATGTCAATAAAGATAATTTTTGTAACTCAATAAATACAATCATTATATACTGGTAGACAACATAGAATTGGTTATATAACACATTGACACTGTTCATCACCTTCAATCCATTGATGCAACTAGACACCATTCTAAATGATAAAATTATTATCTACTCTTTATTAAACCAAATGAATTTAAAACAGCTGTTTTCTACAAGCAGTTCCTATAAACATGAAAAATAGGTATAACTAATGCTTTAATAATTAAAATGTTCACTTATGCTGTTAAGGAGTTATGGCTATGAATTGCTTTTACAATGATATTAATAAGTGTGATAAAAAAACAGCTGGACAGCTTCTTGTTGGCATATAACTGAAAATTAAAGCAAAACTGATGCAGGAGTAAAAAATGATCAGTGTCATCATTTTCATTTTCAGAAAAAATTGGAGAACATGTTTTAAAGTTACTGACCCTGAAATGTTACTATTTAGCATATTTCACATTTTTCGTAATAATATTGAAAACTATAGGGACTACAAGAAAAATAATCAGCTGGACAAGATCTGCACTTCTAGAAAATTTCCAAAAATTGGACAAAGTTTTTTGTGATTTGTGCCCTAAGAAATGTCAATTTTTTGTGAATTTTGCAGTTTTTAGCAATCATATCCAAAACAATAGTATCTATTTGAAATATTTTATGGAAAACTGTTTAGTAGCACATGATTTATTTGTCCTAATCAGTTTAGAAAAGTATGTCGACCTATTTTGGAGTTATATCACCTGAAATATGAGTTTTTAGCAAAGTTTTGTTGTTGAGTATTATCTTGAAACTAATTCAAAGTTTCAAAAATGATCATCAAACAAGTTCTAACTACCTTGAAATTATCTGAAAATTGATTGATTGATTTCAAAGATGTTGCTGCTTCACATGTTATGACTGTCATTTGTGTTAACAGGAATATATGTACTCCTCTGAAATGGGTGAAAAGATTTGAACCAAACTTTTTGTAAATGTTCCTTTGTATATCTTGTGTATAAGTGATATCGGAGGTCCCAGTTCTTCAAGAAACATTGACTGCTGTTGCTTAAAGTAGGACATATGGGTCACATTGCCTTTTTTTGCTTACATCTCCTTAACTTTGAAAAATAGAGAAAATCTGACAGGGTTCACAATGCTAAGCGTGTCAAGACATAATTGTCTGGAGACTACTTGAAGATTTATTACACCTGAAATGCATTTTTGATGATTTTCACTGGTTTTGACTACCCGTAATAACTGAAAAATTAAAAGAGCTAGTCTGTAAGTACAAATGTAGAGCAAATGTGTCAATTGCAAAAATTATTAGGATATTACCATCTACAAAGATTGCATATCTTCTTATTTTGATATAATGTAAATAGTGTCTGATGACTCTTCAAAAAATTTTTCCTCCTCTTTTTTCTATATAAGTTAGAGGAAAGGTTTCATTCATAAAAATCATCAGTGCTAGCATTAAGATCTACAAACATTGCCATTGGGCAGAAACTGTCCAATTACGTCTATAAGAGTTATTGCCCTTGAAACATGACCTTGTTTCACAAGTGTCTGTTATGGTGCAAGGTGAGCAACTCTGGCTCCTGTGAGCCTCTAAATTTTTGTAGGGACGAAGTATTACCATACATCTTACATACTCCAATATTGTGTACATTTGTTCATGAGCTTGATACCTTCAGTCTAGCGCTCAACCACAGGCTTGTAAAAATGCTGTCATGCCTGTAAAAATCATCTCTACAGGCCAATAGAATCGAACTTAATTTTTAGTAGAATTCAACTTCGGGCTTGTAGATTAAAGACTGTTACCTTCCGAAGACACATTGGTTTTCGCACTCTAACTTTAGTTTAAGTGAATGGATCTCTATGAAATTTAAGCATAAGGTTCGATACCACAAAAGAAAGGTTGGGATTGATTTTGGGGGTTATGGTACCAACAGTTAAGGAATTAGGGGCCAAAAATAAGCATTTTTGTAACTTCCAGACATAACTTGTGTGTTAGTGTATGGATCTCTCTGACATTGTACCACAAGGTTCCATATCACACAGGGAATGCTGGGATTGATTTTGGGGGTAATATTGCCTCAAAATATTAGGAATTAAGGGCCAAAAAAGGGGCAAAAAACAAGCATTTTTCTAGTTTCATGACAATAACTTATGTGTAGGTGCATGGATCTTTCTGAAATTGTACTACAAGGTTCCATATCACAAAGGGAAAGCTGGAATTGAGTTTGGGGGTAATTGCCCAAAACGTTTTAGAAAAAGGGGCCAAAAAGGGGCCAAAAATAAGAATTTTTCTAGTTTCCAGACAATAACTTGTGTTCAAGTGTATGGATCTCTCTGAAATTGTACTGCAAGGTACCATACCACAAAGGGAAGGCTGGGTTTGAGTTTGGGGGTAATTGCCCTAAATGTTTAGGAATTTGGGGCTGAAAAGGGGCCAAAAAACAAGCATTTTTCTAGTTTCCAGACAATAACTTGTGTTCAAGTGTATGGATCTCTCTGAAATTATACTGCAGGTACCATACCACAAAGGGAAGGCTGGGATTGAGTTTGGGGGGGGTGATGAATCATAAGGGGGTTCAAAAAATTGGGGGGGGGGGGGATTTTCCATTTTAAATTGGTTATTTCTGATTTATATATAAAAGCAAATAATAATGATATGGTTTGAATAGGTAAATTAAATTTTTTTAAGTTCTTAGACCACATTCATTCTGTGTCAGAAACCTGTGCTGTGTCAAATATTTAATCACAATCCAAAATCAGTGCTGTATCAAGCTTGACTGTTGTGTCCATACTTGCCCCAACTGTTCAGGGTTAGACCTCTGCGGTCGTATCAAGCTGCACCCAGCGGAGTATTTTATTCAGAATTACGATTACTGTAGTTTTTAACTAAATAATTGTGTGTTTAATTGTGTTTAAGGGTCTTCAGTGATGGGTACATATAGACTCAATATATTGAATTTTTAAAATCTGTTACTGAATTAAGCCAACATGAAAAAATTAGGTCAAATATGATAGTTCAGATTTGTATCGATGAGACATAATTCCTTTGGCACTGGCTACGATTACTTGAAACATAAAAATAACAAAAAAGCTATTGTTACGTTGGACACTAATTGCTGGAATGCTAGGTAGGGTTAGGAACCGATTAATTACAAACGTAACAATAATATTTGCGCTGCATTATTGTTACGTTAGATTTATTAAACTAGTATTGTTGATAAATTCTCTGATATGCTTGATAATAATATTAATTATTTTTATTATTCAACAAATAATGTTTATTAATAATTTTTAAGTATTAATTATTTTAATGTTCTTCAAGATATTACTACAGTTTAGAAGTGTCAAAGGTGAAGAATATAGTGCAATGGTTCGATGTTTAGAAGAAAAGTATTCACTTTTATGTATTTAACTGCACACTTACCCTTATTACTGTCATCATACTGTGAACAATGGAAGAGGTTATTCCCATTACCAAATTTTCTTTGGGTGGAAAATTTAAAGCTTTGGATGTGTTTGAATAAAAAAAAAGAAAAAATGAGATTCAAAATTTATACAGTTATATAAATGAAGTTCGAGAAAAATTCATACATCAAAAGCAAAGTTTTACAGCATTGAACTAAAATAGTTTGAACTTGTGTGTATGCATGTATCCATGGAGGATTTAATTTCGTTTCAAAATCAGATGGAGAATGTCCAAACCAAAGGTAGAGTTTTTTTCTTCCAATATAAATATCATTTGGTCATAAATCAATACAAATGGTATAACTTCTAAAAGGGAAACTGCTGATAGGGAACTGTTTAGTCTACAAAACCAATGTGCACGTTGCAGCATCACTCGTTTGTGATGGCTCCCAAAAATGTGTCGGAATAAAAATGCACCCAAAAGCACATAGTAGATTGTATATTTGAATTGATTACGAATAAAAGTTTTCAAGTTATATTTTAATATATTACATACATATGGGACATACTATATATACTACTATTCCCAGCATATAATGATTTGATTTGATTTGATTTTTGGTGTTTTAATGCCACTTTTAAGCACCGCTTGTGGGCTATTTCGTGGAGGCCAGTTTTTATTGGTGGAGGAAGCCGGAGTG